TTCCTTTTGATTTTCGGAGTAGGCAAGGGAAGTTGGTTTGACACTTTGTTTTTAATTTAACACATCTATTTGTTGAGATTTCTAAGTATTACTCTGCACAATATAATTACAACAGCATGGAGAGAAAAAGCAGATGTGTTTTAGACAAATTTTATAGTGCATCAAACAACTATCGTGAATGTGTAGGGTAAAAAGGATTCCATTTTTTCCCCTCTGTGAATGTATCTGCTTACTTCTTAATATTTAATATAGATAATAAATTTATTTTTTAAAATTTAAGAGGGAGCTATTCTTAAGTTTTGCCTTAAAAAAAGGTATGGACTGTGAACAACCAAATACTTAGGTATTTAGGACTACAGAAGAAGTTGAAAAAGTTATTTGAAAAATGCTCTGTGGATCCTAATATAAAAACATTCATGTATGTTTTATAATGTCACTACTACAATATCTAGGCCTTACTACATGAAAAATGTAAGATACTGAGAACACAGTTAGGAAGTTAGGCTAACTCTAACAGAAAGTGAAACTGATTTGGCAAATATTTTTTTCTATTGCTTCAGTACAAACGGAAAACAGCTTCTCCAATGACCAGTAAGCTTTGTTAAAGGAAGTAACCCCAAAGAGTATTCTTATTACTAAATTCAGTACATCGCAAAATCCCACTGATGTTATCTTATTTTTGTTATATTTTGGAGGGAAGAGGTTGCATTTTAAAGATAAATTTCTGGGACAGGTATATTCTATTGCAAGGGCTTCCTTTTGCTTTCTTTCTGTTTGGGAAATTTCTTTAGGAAAGAGTGAAAGTATACAAGAAATGTATGGGTTAGTGTGTTGGTCAGGAAATGCAAGTTTTTTTCCAGTGACCATGCCTGATGGTAACTGAGTGAGTTGCAGATGCAGTATGCCTATTAGGGGTTTGAAAACAGATTTGTGCAATTCTGCTTCTGGACCTTTCTGGTATGAAATATTTTTAACTTCTCAGAGCTCTTTGCTTCTTTAGGAATATTCAGAAGAGAACAAGCTTGGTAGCATGAGATTGGAATTCACTCAGGAAACTGCTGTCTTGTTTTACCTGCAGTCAGTTGCATGACAGAAGTGCTGCACGATGCATGTACAAAAGTACTCTGCTTAGAGTGTTGACAGTGATAACAGAAATGCCAGAGTGAGTTCCTAAATGTGCCTGTGTTAGAGTAAAAGTTGTTCTTATGTCTAAAATAATTTTTCCAAGATGCCAGTAGTAGTGAAATCGTTGGTCAAAGAATTCAGCTTGGTTTTTAATTAAAATTTCCTGACTAAGGCATCCTTCCCTGAAATGGCTATGGTGTGAGGCCCTGTTTGAATAACATTTGCCAGTTCTTTTAGGCACCAAATGAAAAAAGTTTGAAAACAAATACCTACATTAGATAGTGTTGGAAATGTATACCAGGCAATCAGCTACAAGCAGGACAGATACTGGAAAATTGAAATAGATGTCTTTCTTTTAGGGAGCTTGGTGAGTTTATCTCATCCTACCTGCCCATTATTTTATGTTATAATTTTGGGGTTGATTAAAATGAGTATTTTAAGTTGTTTGGAAATTGAGCTTTATCTTATCTTGTTCTTATCTATCAGAAGTAAAAAATAGATCTTTTCGGATGAGATTTTTGGGTCTGTGTATTCTCAAGTGTCCTTAGTCTCTAATAAGAATAGCTTGATAAGAATCATAAGCAACACAAGCTTCCCTCTAAAATACAACCTTCACATTTTGTAAAGGTAGTAAATATTTAGTGGGCAACGAATTGCCTATGTGCTGAGAATTTTCTGTATTAGAATTAAGATGATTCCCCTTATAGGTGGGATTTTCTGTCAGGTAGCCTGCAAGACATGGCATTGTTCTGGAGAACCTTGTGCATCCTGGAATAATGAAGCATTTATTTCCACATGCTATCTGTCTAGAACTTGGAGGAAATAAGCTTACTGACTGATGTGATGCCTTGAACAAAGATGCAGTCTCTGTGCAGTAAGTTGGAAGGAAATCATTTTAAGAGATTTCCCTCAATTTTGAACAGACCTCCTTAGCCTAGATGACTTCCTGCCAACATAGAAACTTCTTGGCTAACAAAATAATGTTTGCCTTCAACATCTAACAACACAAGGTACATGTGCTTGGTAGTGTCAAAAATGGACAAATTGTAGGTGAAGATTTTTATTCTGGCTACCAGTGTGGAAAGTTGGGTAGAAATATAACTGAAAGGCTGAATAAAAACCTTGGCAGAGATGTCAAAGCTGGAAGTGATTTGGTGCGGGAGTTTCTGTTGAGCATCTGTGGACCACTGCATAGCCCCTTAGTATTTCTGTTAGGGATGCCCTGGAGGAAGGGTTTCCTGGCAGAAATCCAGACGTACAAATTCAGTGTACTAGAAGAGTGGGCAGTGTCCAGCCACTGTTCCCATAGGATGTATAGGGGAGATGTTTGGGAGCCTGCTGTACAGTCCAAGAATACCTCTGTTGTCTCCTAGAATAGGGCCTAATTAATTCCACAAGGGGGCTTTCCGTACCATTCGTTTTCATTATTGAACATTATTCTCAGTACAGGCTCATCAGAGTAGAGTTTTATTTGTTCAAGACAATTGTTTGGCCTTGTTTTTTAAAGCCAGTTTTGCATTTGTGGGAGGTTATTAGATGCCTTACAGTGGGAGTCTTTCCCCAGTTTTTGTTCTTCAACTCTGAAATCATGGCCCTCTCAGAAAGGGTTGCCAGCAAGCAAAGACAGTTAACAAGGCAGTGATAAAGCCTGCAAACTGGTCCTCCAATGGGGGTGGGGATGAGGCGCGGGCAGTGTTATCGGACTGGGTGGATCTGTGGTTTGGAAATACTTCCCACAGAGAATTCTCAGCCTTGTGTAAAGGTTTTTACGTTTTTCATGTGCTCTTTCAAAACACTAGTGATAACATTTAATTCAGAGTTGCCTGGAATTAGGCTTGTTAGCTGTGCATGTTTTTAACTTGTTCTTTCAAATCAAGCTTGGGGAAGAGAAAAATACATCCTTGCCATTATCTCTGAGAGATTTAAAATTGACTCCAGTAGTAGCTCAGGGATGGACATGGCAGCAGGGATCGGTCTAAGATTCCACTCTTCTGCTAGTTAAATTGGGCCTGGAACCACTACAGAAATTCCATCCACTACTTTGAGAACAACAGTCCCCAGCCCAGGCTTTCTACCAGGCAGTGGACCGCTGCCTTTCCTTGTTGAGCCAACTTCTCAAACTTGGCCGGCTCCCCAGATGAGAAGCCAAGATTTCTGCTCATGATCTACAGCCAAGTTCACTTACAATCCTCTAACCGAGAGACTTGTCCATTTGAGTCCTTTCAGAGCTCAGTGAATGGGAGGGGGTAGTGCACTGTGGGGATGATTTTGATGTTAGATTATACTTAGCTCCACCCCTTTAGTGCAGGTCCACGTGAAACCAAGTGCAACTGCATTCTAGCCGTTTGAGATTTGCAGGGCTCTCCCAGAAAGAAAACAGACAATTAGAATTTTATTTGTATCAACAGGAGGGATTGTGGGTAATTCTGGTGCACAGCTCTTACCTGGGAGGAGGGCCAAGAATCGTGGTGATTTAGTAGACAGGAGTATCTTGGGCTGCTCTGGAGACCAAAGATGGGCGATTAATTTGCATGTAAATAAACCACCTTAGGTAGTATATAGCAAACAGGAGCGGCAGACACATGCCGAATGTTGTCTCTTGGCCTTTAAGCTCCTTAGGTATAGTCCCAGCCCAACTTATCTTTGTGTAGATGATCAGAGGGAACAACAGTAAGTTCAAAAGGACTAGATACTTAAATAGGTTTAATTCTGTTGAGCTATTTCATGCTACTGTTAGAAGGCATCTATAATTTTGCTCTAAAGTTGTATGATACAGAGTACCTGTCTCTAGCCTCAGATTACTTGGTGTTCCAAGCTTGACCGTCGTCCTCTCAGCTTCTCCATAATATTTCATATGTCACTATAGTTCAGTAAACATTCATTTTACAGTGAAACCAGACTTAACAAGATTAGGACAACTTTAGAAGTGCTCCAGGCATCTGCCCCCAAAAGAGAGAGATGCTGTGGAGAACCATGGTTGTCATGGGAACCTCATGTCCAGTTCAGTAGAGCTGTAGGAGAGGTGCATGCTTAAGAGACCAGGAAGTACTCAGATGACCACAGGTGCTCCCAGCCTCCTCTTCCTCTGTAATGACTAGGACTTTAGGATTAAATAACAGGAGAATTTCAAGTCCTTTCATTCTCACAACTCTTGATAGAATTTTGTCTGTACATCTTCTCTAGTACAAGGATTCATGTGAGGCAGCATTATTCTTGTGCTAAGCCAAGTTACTTACTCTTGTTCCATTTTTTGAATTTCTGGTCCCCTATGTGTGTAGATTTAAGCTACCTGAACTTCCCGTATACAGACTTGGTCTCTAGGTTAGCTCAATGCAACCATGTGCATTCAAGGTGAATGTTCAGAGTATAATTTCCATAATTCTCAGTGTAGGTGTGATGAAGTTCTTCTTGCTTTGGGTTTGTGTTCCTTTTGGAGGGGATACCCCTCTGATGGGGGCCTGCTGAAGTGCGCTTACCATGCTCTCCAGCACTGTCTCTTCTGCCTGAAATCAGAGCATTTTTGCGATTCCTGATTTGGTGTTGGCAGTTTTGGTCCGTCTCCAGTTGACTGTTCTTTGTGATTACAAGTAGGCTAAGACTTTGACTTGGATATTTAGATACTGCCAAAGTAGCCTGACCTGCCACAGGTGCCTGAGGGAATTTATTCTGAGTATGTGGTGTCAGAAAGTGTGCCCTCTAAGAACTGCCTGTCTGGCACTGCCTGTGTGCGGGAAAGCCCTTGGCAGGATAGCACCTTGGATCTACTTTTAAAAAACAGGAACTCAGAATTCAGTTGTCATCTTATCAGCTGTGTCATAATGATCTCAGATTCATGCATCTAGATTTTATAAGAGTTTTAGTTTCTATTATATGATTTGATGAGAAAGTCTTAAACTAGTGCCTTTTACTGGGCTTGGGGCTCACGGTGATGGTTTCACATGAAAGAAGCACCAGTGACTTAACTCTTTTTTCCCCTGGACACCCATCTGGGGAATCTCTTACAGTGGAGGTGATCACATCTTAAGAAGGGGCCACTGGAGCTTTCTCTAGTCACTTCCTAACCACAGACTGGTGGCTCTTCTGTCACATAAGCAAGTTGGGGGGGGGGGACCACTGATGTTACAGGAGAGTCACACTTTGTTCCCCTGAATAACTTTTATTTTACTTATGCATGAGCTGGATGCATCGAGCTACTTTGGATGTTCCTGTCGCAAGCCTTGCTCACCCCTTTCTCCCCCTTTAGCAGAGCCTAATTCTGGAGACTCCTAACTGCCCACCTCGAGAAATCCTTCCCAGTCCACTCGCCAGGGACAGTGCTGACAGCGTGTACTTCCAGGCGATACCCCACCCACCTTGTACCAAGCAAAAGGAGTGACATTCCTAACGTGTTCTTTCTCCTATTCTTCTAGGCTGACAAACGGGCTCATCATAATGCACTGGAACGAAAACGTAGGGACCACATCAAAGACAGCTTTCACAGTTTGCGGGACTCAGTCCCATCACTCCAAGGAGAGAAGGTGAGTTTCTTGAGGAAGCTGAGTAACTGGCCACTACTAGCTTTTAACTTGTTGCGGAGCCTAGGAGAGCACTCACCTATTGGGAAGGAAATGTAGTCAGAGATATTCAGGTAGCATGGTTGCCTTATTTTTTGACTGTTTGGAGGATCACCGCACGCCTTACCTACTCCAGTTTATCCTCAACAAAATATGTCAGATATAATGGAGCCATTTGTAAGATATTGGTAGGAGTCATCTTTCTAAATTTGTATTATATGTAATAAATTCAAGAAATTATAACTATATACTGTAGTGTAAAGGGTGGCCCAGGGTTCATTTGGGATAACAGTAAAGATTCCAGAGGTGGTTAATACCCTAGACCTCCCTGAGAATTTCTTTCCTGTGGTTCAAGGTTAATACTTACTGTAAATGAGCACTTGCAGAAATGCATGTAATGTATGTTAAAAGCAGCCTGGGCACCATTGATTTTCTAGCCCCAATAATTGTTATTTCCAAGGCGTATAAAGAGCATTTTAAACTGTGGGACAAAAGACTTGAGTGAAGAGACATGTTCGTGTGAAATAGAAAAAAATAACCGTTCTTCCCCACTCCCTTCTGGAACCTAGCGTTTTCCCTGGAGGGCTAGGCACCAGCTGTTTCTACATTTTAAAAACAAAATTAGAAGCTTTGAGTAAAAGCCTATGGGTTAGGGTCACTCCCTGGAATTTGGAGAAAACATCTGCACAGCTAGTTCCATCCTTGACAGAGAGTGTAGTTGTCTGCAGCAATTCAGTGGAATAACTGGCAGGCTGGGAAGAGGACCTATGTTTTTGCTTTAGTGATCCAGTGTTTTATAAAGAAGCAACTATTCTGTTAAGAACAATTTTTGCTTTTGAGTGCACTTTGATTTAGTTCTGTGGTGGGGGTCCTGGATTTGTTTGGCTATCCAAGATCAAATTTGGAACCCTTATGCTTTCATTTTTTATATTGTCACTCTGGTGAGTTATATGCTCTATCCTTTATCTAAGGTGTGGCTTTCCATGTGGCGGAAACATGGAGAAGATCTGACCTTTATAAAGAACAAAACAGGCCATGTGCATACCTAGTATTGCAAAACCAGAATTTGTCATGGGTTAAGCGTACTAAGTGTGGACTTGATTTAATGACCTTAAACCAAAGTACTTACCTGGAATAACAACCTTCCTGAGTACAACACTAAGTACCACAGAAATCTTTATGACTAGAGACAGACTCACCCCTTTAGTCAAAGTAAACACATGCCAGAGATTATCTCTTAGGCTTCTTTGACCTGTTGACAGTTGGTGCATATTCCTGTACCATAGTATCCATTAAAATTGCTTTGGTAAACTATATGGACAAGAGCTGCCTTCTCCTAAGTCTCACATCTAACCAGGAGTGGCACTGGGGCAATGTTTCTCGGGGTGAATTGTGGACCACCCACATCAGATTCACTACTGAATCAGCCTTTCTGGAGGGAAGCCTGGGAATCTGTATTTATAACAAGCAGTCAGATGATTCTTAGGCATTCTTAAGTTTGAATACATTGGGAGAGGTGGGTCATAGGATCACAACTATACCTTTTCCTTATCCAGCCTGTTTTACAATGCCATAACATTCTTCCTTAACTCCTTATAATTACATTATTCTAAATCATATTTTCTCCTTTCTTTCTTCAAGGAAGTTGAAGGTTTGAATTTGGTAGTCTTACAGAGGGAATAATTTGTCCTTTGTTGTGGCTCATTTATTTACTCATTGATGCCATTCAACACATATTTACTGAGGGTCTACTACCTGCCAGGTACTATTCTAGTTACTGGGAATACAGCAGTAAACAAAACAGACAATAACAGGAGCTCTTGCTCTGATGAGGAAATGATAAAAAAAGAAGTAAGAATTAAAAATATATGTATTATGTCAGGTAAGTACCATGTAGAAAAACAGGGAAGAAGAGTTGCAATTTTAATTATGGCAGAGAAGAAGACTGTTGCTGGCAAAGCTTTGAACAAAGTGAAGCAAAGAATAGTGCATCTGTCTAGTAATGAGCATTCCAGGCAGAGGAAAGGCAAGTGTGGTAGCACTGAGACAGGAACCTGTAAGCATTCCTGGGCCAGGCAGGGAAAACAAAGAGGCCAGAGTAGCTAGAGTGGAATGAGTGAAGGGATGGTGGCAGGAGATGCTGGCAGAAAAGTAGCAGGACTAGGAGAGAGGAGTGGTCCAGGGGAACCAGATTCTAGAGCCAGTCAGCACAACCCCAGTTTGAGAATTTACTAGATACCATTCTAATTTCCGAATCCTCCTATGCTGTGTTACAATCCAAATATGTCCTACTGACAGTGAATGAAGGAAATGTCTATAAACTCTCAACCTCTTCCTCTTTAAAAAGCAAGCTGCCAGCACTGTTTCATAGGTGCCGTGAGTCTAACAGAATACTTTGGTCCCTCAGACTTATGAGTTGTGACTAAACGTGGCGTTTTTTAAAATGTGGTATTTGAACCAAAGGAAATGGGCTCATTCTTAGATTGTGGTAATTAAGGTTATGACATTATGTAAATAATCATGAGATGATTATTTTACCATGTGAATTTTGGGAAACTTAGATTCTTAAAGGGAAATTTAGGTCTCTCTGTGTTCCAGTCTCCTTTGACTTAAACATCTTTATGTTCCAGCTGACTTCTTCCTTAGCATTTGGATTATCTGTCATATGTGTAAGCCTTTTGTTTTTTAAAGAGAAAGCAATATATTAATTGAATTGGATCCTAACCAAGAATAAGGGATACTTGTTTAAAAAAGAAAGAAGGCTTTAAATGTGGGACCCAAACTCTATTTACCCTTTGTTTTCTGTATTTCTACTATAAATTAAACATTTTAAAAAATGGTTGGCCGGGCGTGGTGGCTGATGCCTGTAATACCAGCACTTTGGGAGACTGAGGCAGGTGGATCACTTGAACCCGGGAGTTTGATACCAACCTGGGCAACATGGCAAAACCATGTCTCTACAAAAAATACAAAAATTAGTCGGGTGTGGTGGTGCTTACCTGTAGTCCTGGCTACCTGGGAGGCTGTGGTGGGAGGATCACTTGAGTCTGGGAGGTCCTGGCTGCAGTGAGCCGTGATGGCACCACTCCAGCCTGGGCGACAGAGTGAGACCCTGTCTCAAAAAAATAAGAAAAATTAAAAAAAGAATTACTTTTTTCTTGAGGAAAAAAACCAGTAATAATTGACACTGTATTGCAATGTAAAATTAAATCCACACAGCAGTTGTATAAGGTATGGTACTGTTATTAGACAGTTATTACTGCTGTTGCTCCTGTCAGTGTTATTAACAGGCTCAAGATCATTATCCCATCTGTAGCAGGACAGGGGCTAGAACTCAGGATTGCCAATTAATTGCCAAGTTCCATCTTTTTCCTGTACCATATGGGTAAACAGTTTAAGGATATTTAAAAAAAATCTTGCTTAAATACTTATATCTTGTCATTGTCCTGGGAGCTTCCCCTGGATAGGCCTGTTAATCTTGGCAGTGTATCATACCACGGCTACTATAAAAATACTCTCCTCTGAGGTGGCATATGTAGGTAACACTGAAGTGTGGAGTATTAAGGATCATTTAAAGTCTATAATTTCTTTCTGAGTTCACATAGTGGCTCTGAGCCTAAGAAAATAGACCATTACAGTTCGTGGTTCATTTGGGTTTTGCCATAGGTCCCAGAGTTAACAAGTAGACCCTCGAACTCTATTGTTTGAGTCTTTTGTGTTCCTTGCAGTTTCTCAACTGTACATGGAGCCCACTGGGAACAATAGGATAGAATTAGAACCGTCAGCCAGCCAACCAGAGTAATGGAGTGAGGGCAAGATCAACTGTCAACTGTGGCCCCATTTTTTTTTTTTTCTTTTACAGAGATGTTACTTTTACAGAAAGTATTAGTTAAGTGTCCTTGCTGGGTACTAGGGAGTGTTACACAATGGTTCACTGGCGCTAAGCTCACCGTATTTATGTTGGGGAGCAAGACATGATAGCCAGCCCATCATTTTGCCTTTACATGGGAGTATAATTCTGTCCTCCATCTCGTAAGCCCCAGTACCTGAGCCAGAATGATTGTAACCAATCACACTGTCTCTTTTTCATGGATGGCTTTAGCAGTAGGTTATTTTCATCATTGCCGTTTGTAGCTCTACAGTGGTTTATAGTAATCTCTCATCTTTTAAGTCTCTCCCTCAGTGCCTGTTGTTATCAAACTCATTGCTCTCTCAGGCAGTTGAGCTCTGCATTTCTCCCTTATGGGGAGAGCTGTGTTGAAGAGAGAGAATGTAACTTAAAATGAAAATAAACAGAATTTCTTGATTTTGAGGTGAGAATTTGAGGGCACTGCCTTTTTCAGTTCCCATCAGAGATTCTGGCTCATAGTAGGTTCTCAGTAAATTGTGGTGGTGAAGAGAGCCAGAGGAAACAGCACACTTGCTCAGCCATTAAAGAAAACAGCAACAGTCAACATTATATGCTTAACTATATAAGTGAGACCCTGTGAGTGCTATAGAGGTTCAAACACATAATAGATGGTGTCTACCCTTGAGGGTCTTGCTCTCTTGTTGGGAAAGAGGGTTACACCTAACAATTAACAATAGTGAGATAACATGCTGAGCATCAGATAAGAGCTTTACATTGAGTTAATCTCTGTTTCATTTCCATTAAAGTCTGGTTTTCTTAACAGGTAGATGTTGAAACCAAATATTAATAGTTCCTTTATGGCAGGGAACATGGTTCTTAAGGAAAAAGGCTCTCATAGCATTTATACTTTTATGTGCACACATTTATATATTATACTTAATATATGTGGTTTTACATATATTTGTGTGATTATTTAATGACTGTCTGCTGCCACTACACTATAGTAAGTACCATGAAGGCAAGGAAAATGTCTCCTTTTGGTTATATTCCTTCCCTCAGTGCCTGCACATAGTAGGGAGCATAGTGAATGTTTATTAACTGAGGGGAGGAATCCCCCATCAACCTGGCCACATTATTTTGAGAGATGGCTCATTCCTGTTGATGGTTTTAAAGCTGACAGTTCATTTGGTAACCTGTGTCTATAGCATATCTGAGCTGCTGGAGGGATTGTCTTTTACATGAAATGTTAACCACAGTCCTATCCACTTCTCATTACTCATTAACGTTATATTAGCTGGCCAGACTCCGACTTGGGCAATTATCTTTTTAAAGTTTCTACATCTTAAATTGTTGCCCATAGTTGCCCATGTCTCCCTTAGGCTCCAGGCTCAGCAATTGTAAATGCATTTAATTTCTTATAAATTATTTGTGTGCTGCTGAAAACCTCCAAGGGCTTTTCATTGCCCATTTAGGTAAGGACTGGTATTCCATGTTCTGTAAATAAGGTACCCAGCTTGCCCACCTGCTTTTTCACCACCTTCCTGCCGTTAACCTTCCAGTTACTGTACACCCTTGAATTAGTCCGTTTTCTTGCTGCTAATAAAGACATAGACTGGGCAATTTACAAAAGAAGGAGGTTTAATGGACTTATAGTTCCAAGTAGCTGGAAGGAAGCCTCACAATTGTAGTGGAAGGCAAGGAGGAGCAAGTTATGTCTTGCATGGATGGCAGCAGGCAAAGAGAGAGAACTTGTGCAGGGAAAATTGTTTTTAAAACCATCAGATCTTGCAAGACTTACTCACTATCATGAGAACTGCATGGGAAAGACCTGCCCCCATGATTCAGTTACCTCCCACCGAGTTCCTTCCACGACACATGGGAATTGTGGGAGTTACAATTCAAGATGAGATTTGGGTGGAGACACAGCCAAACTATATTATTCCGCCCCGGCCCCTCCCAAATCTCATGTCCTCACATTTCAAAACCAATCATGCCTTGCCAACAGTCCCCCAAAGTCTTAACTCATTTCAGCATTAACTAAGAAGTCCACAGTGCAATGTCTCTTCTGGGACAAGACAAGTCCTTTCTGCCTATGAGCCTGTAAAATCAAAAGCAAGTTAGTTACTTCGTAGATAGAATGGGAGTACAGGCATTGGATAAATACAGCCATTCCAAATGGGAGAAACTGGTCAAAAAGGGGGCTACAGGACTCATGCAAGTCCGAAATCTAACAGGGCTGTCAAATCTAAAAGCTCTGTAATGATCTTTGACTCCATGTCTCACATAGAGGTCATGCTGATACAGGAAGTGGGTTTCCTTGGTCTTGCGTAGCTCTACCCCTGTGGCTTTGCAAGGTACAGCCCCCTTCTTGGCTGCTTTCACAGGCTGGCATTGAGTGTCTGTAGCTTTTCCAGGTGCACAGTGCAAGCTGTCAGTGTATCTACCATTTTGGGGTCTGCAGGATGGTGGCACTCTTCTCACAGCTCCACTAGAGAGTACCCCAGTAGAGACTCTGTGGGGGCTCTGACCCCACATTTCCTGTCTGCAATGCCCTAGCAGAGGTTCTCCATGAGGGCCCTATCCCTGCAGCAAACTTCTTCCTGGACATACAGGTATTTCCATACTCCATCCTCTGAAATCTAGGCAGAGGTTCCCAAACCCCAATTCTTGACTTCTGTGCACTCCCAGGCTCAGTACCATGTGGAAGCTGCCAAGGCTTGGGGCTTGCACCCTCTGAAGCCACAACCTGAGCTCTAAATTGGGCCCTTTCAGCCACGACTGGAGTGGCCGGGATGCAGGGCACCAAGTCCCAGGGCTGCGCACAATATGTGGACCCTGGGCCCAGCCCATAAGACCAGTTTTTCCTCCTAGGCCTCTGGGCCTGTGATGGGAGCAGCTGCTGTGAAGATATCTGATATGCCCTGGAGACATTTTCCCAATTGTCTTGGGGATTAACATTCGGTTCCTCATTACTTATGTAAATCTCTGCAGCTGGCTTGATTTTCTTCTCAGAAAATGGGATTTTCTTTTCTATCACATTGTCAGGCTGCAAATTTTCCAAACTTTTATGCTCTATTTCCCTTATAAAACTGAATGCCTTTTACAGCAACCAAGTAACCTCTTGAATGCTTTGCTGCTTAGAAATTTCTTCCTCCAGATACCCTAACTCATCCCTCTGAAGTTCAAAGTTCCACATATCTCTAGGATAGGGGCAAAATGCTGCCAGTCTCTTTGCTAAAACATAACAGGAGTGACCTTGGCTCTAGTTCTCAACAAGTTCCTCATCTCCATCTGAGACCACCTCAGCCTGGACTTCATTGTCCATATCATTATCAGCATTTTGGGCAAAGCCATTCAACAAGTCCCTAGGAAGTTCAGAACTTTCCCACATTTTTCTGTCTTCTGAGCCCTTCAAGTTGTTCTAACCTCCAGCTGTTACCCAGTTCCAAAGTTGCTTCCACATTTTCAGGTATCTTTTCAGCAGTGCCCTACTCTACTGGTACCAATTTACTGTATTAGTCTATTTTCATGCTGCTGTTAAAGACATACCTGAGACTGGGCAATTTACAAAAGAAAGATCTAATGACTTACAGTTTCATATGGCTGAGGAGGCCTCACAATCATGGTGGAAGGCAAGGAGAAGCAAGTCACATTTTACATGCATGGCAGCAGGCAAAGAGAGCTTGTGCAGGGAAACTCCCATTTTTAAAACCATCAGATCTCACGAAATTTATTCACTATCACCAGAACAACATGGGAAAGACCAACCCCCATGATTCAGTTACCTCTCACCAGGTTCCTCCCACAACACATGGGAATTGTGGGAGTTAAATTCAAGATGAGATTTGGGTAGGGACACAGCCAAACCATATCAACTCCTCTTCTGTTTGCTCAGGAATTTCATTCTCAGCTAATCTGAGTTCTTTGCTTTTCTCAAGGTCCAACCCCAGCCACACTGCCCAGGTGACTTGGGGGTTCCATATTGATGAGCCCTGCTCACAAGATCTACCTGCAGTCTGTCCTCTATTTCCTGCCTGAGTTCCCCCCTTCCCTCAGTCTCCAGCTCCTTGCCTTAGAGGCCCATATCAAATACTGCCCCACCCTTAGAACCCTCCCATGAACCTCTGTGGCCTTTTGTGGGACCTCTCCTCTGTCTCCCTAATTTCTGTGATCATCTTATCACCTAACTAAATGGTATGCTCCTGTAGGGCAGGAATCTAATGATTCCTTCTGGGAGACTGTCATACAGAATGGGAGAGGTCTCACTCCCCCAGGAGTACTAGAGAGCTCTTCACCTAACATTTTTCACATCTTGAGATTCAGAAGGATAGGGATTGATTACCAGGCCTTGACTTTAGCGTTTTTTTTTTCTCCAACAAAGTTGCAAAAACTTTAGAAAAATGGTAAGAAGAAAAAACATGAGTCCTTCCTTCCTCTAACACAACTGCAGCCTTCCCTTTGATCCTGTGACAAATGCTGCCCAACAGAAATTTAGTGTGAGTCACAAATGCATTTTAAATGTAACTTAAATAAAATTTTCGAGTAGAACCAATTAAAAGGTTAAACAGGTGAAAATTTGAATAATATAATTTATTTAGCCTAATATTAAAAAATAAGTATGATCTCAACATGTAATCAATATATTTAAAATTATTCATTCACCAAGTCTTTAAATTCAACTTAACAGCACATCTCAATTCAGAGTACTCACATTTCAAGTGTTTATTAGCCACATGTGGCTAGTGACTATCAGATCAGATAGTATAATCCGAAAATAGACTCTCCGTACCCCGCTGCCCCATTTAATGTGACTGAATTAGTCATCATCTTAGAGTGGATGTGAAAAGAAACCTGCCTCCTTTTTTTCTCCCCAAAAGCTGCTATTGTT